ATGAAATAAAATAAAACAAGGAAATTAAAAAAAAAAAAATTGTTTCTCAAACACATTCTATTAATCTACTTGAAAACTCCCGTATGGCATTAGTAAGCACATCTTTGCAAGATTGCAGCCCAGAAAGTTACTTTAAAATATTAACAGAAATATAGTGCTGTCTAAAAATACTTTGTGAAAAGAAAAATCAGAAGTCTACAAGTAACAGAGGAATGGGTAAGAGAATGGGTGCTACTTTAACAATCTTCAAAATATCTAATCTATCAGTTAGCTGGCAGATAAAATTATCTTGGAAAATACAACCCAAGCAAGCAAAAGATAAAAACTAGAGGATTAATGTGTCACAGAGTAGAACTACTCCATAAGGTTTTCTTGGCTGTCCAGGCCACTGGGCGGGTTCAAACCACCAAGCTTCAGGTTAGTAGTCTAACACAAACCATTTACGTAATTGAAAGACTTTAGAGGATTAATACAATGAAATTTTTAGTGTTTTTTAAATGAGAGGACTATATATATGCTTATGATGGAGACTCATCAGTTTCTACATATTGTAATCCCTTTTCATAGGTAGCTCATTAAGGTAACACTGGTTTATATGTGTAAGTCAGGATTTTAAAAACATAGGTCTTTTTACTTAAACAAATTAGGTCATTCCTCTTAATTAAAAGGCACAGTAACACTTACTGTTTTCTCTCTAAAGAATATCAGGACAGAACAGAGAGAACAGATCAAAGGGATATATCCCTCTGAGTACATGAATACATTCCGTAAGTACCACTGAGGAAACAATAGAGCAGTTTGGTAAGTATTGTGTCAAGATTTGAGGCAAGAAGTGGGGGAAAACACAAGGAGAATATAAGTGAAAAATTAATTTCAAGCACAGGGAAATAGTTACAAAGCATTCTCTATCAAAAGGACACAGGTCTGAGACAGGAAACCTTCCCAGGTGGGCCTGGGTATTTTCTTTCTCCAGAAAAGAAGGGAATGCTCAAAAGTCTAATTTGTTGTTGTTGTTGTTATGTGCCATCAAGTCGGCCCCAACTCATAGCGACCCCTCCTTGGGTTTCCGAGGCAGTATCACTACGGAAGTAGGATTGCCCAACCTCCAAAAGTCTAATAAAGCATATTAAAAAACAAGGACGCCTCCTTGAAGAGGCTGCCTCTATTTCAACACAAAAGATTAGTGATCTAACTGATGTTAGACCACTGACTACACAAAAATCCATGCATCTATAACAATACACACACAGAGAGAAAAGAGAAAGATAAAAAATACTTATTTTGCCTTCTATATCATAGATAGCTATTACACCAACTCCTAAATTGTAATTAAAGGGAAAGAATTAAGTAGTGACCTTGCTGTTTTTGAAGAATCATAGTTATCCCAGTTCATAAGATAAAGCTTTTTACTGAGATATGGCAGTAAACACATGACAGAGTTAGGAACTTTGCAGACCCCAAAGAAATACTTGATTCAAGCAAGGATCATCAAGGCATTCCTAAACCCACCAGTGAAAGGTTGTTGGGAAATGGGATATTTGCACAATGCCAAAGTATCACATATTTGCTGAGAGCAAAGAAAAAACATAGAGTCATTGTACCAAAAAGAATTATTCAACATACAACCATTTCAGGAGTCCTATATGAGCAAGAAACAATGGTACTGAAGGAAGAAGTTCAAGCTGCACTGAAGGAATTGGCATAAATCAAGGCTCCAAGAATTGACAGAATGCTCACTGAGATGTGTCAACAAATGGATACAGCACTGGGGTTTACTTGTCTGTGCCAAGAAATTTGGAAGACAGCTACCAGACAAACTGACTGGAAGAGATCAGTATTTGTGCCCATTCCAAAGAAAAGTGATCCACAAGAATGAGGAAATTATTGAGCAATATCATTAATATCACACGCAAGTAAAAATTTGCTAAAGATAAATTCAACAACGATTGCAGCAATATATTGACAGAGAACTGGCAGAAATTCAAGCTGGATTCAGAAGAGGACAATAAACAAGGGCTATCACTGCTGATGTCTGATGGATTTGCCTGAAAGCACAGAATACCAGAAAGATGGTTACCTGTGTTTTACTGGCTATACAAAGGCACTCAACTGTGTGGATCATAAGAAACGATGGATAACATTGTGAAGAATGGGAATACAGAACACTTAATTGTGTTCATGAGAAACGTGTACACAGGCCAAGAGGCTGTCGTTTGAACAGAACAAGGGAATACTGCATGGTGTAAAATCAGGAATAGTGTGTGTCAGGGTTATATCCTCTCATCATATTTATACAATCTGTAGGCTGAGTAAATAATCTGGGAAGCTGGACTATGTGAAGAAGAATGTGGCATCAAGATTGGAGGAAGAGTCATCAACAGCCTTGCAAAATGCAGATGGCACAACTTTGTTTGCTGAAAGTGAAGAAGAGTTGAAGCACTTAGTAATGAAGATCAAAGACTACACCTAGTAGTATAGATTATACCTGAACATAAAGAAAACAAAAATACTCACAACTGGACCAATAAACAACATCATGATCAATGGAGAAAGGATTGAAGTTGCTAGGGATATCATTTTACAATCAACATCCATGGAAGCAGCAGTAAAAAAATCAAACAACATATTGTATTGGGCAAATGTGCTGTAAGAGACCTCTTTAAAGTGTTACAGCAAGGATGTTACTTTTAAGATTAAGGTGTGCCTGACCCAAGCTATGGTATTTTTCAATAGCCTCATATGCATGTGAGAATTGAACAATGAATAAGGAAGACTGTGCATTTGAATTGTGGTATTGGAGAAAAATATTGAATGTACTGCTAAGAGAACAACAACAAAAAAAAAACTGTCTTGGAGGAAGTATAGCCTGAATGCCCCTTAGAAATGAGAATAGCCAGACTTAGTCTCACCTACTTTGGTCATGTTGTCAGAAGGGACCAGTCCCTGGAGAAGGATATCCTGCCTGGTAGTAGAGGGTCAGAGAAAAAGGGGAAGACCCCCAATGAAATGGACTGACTCAGTGGCTGTGAGGATGCTGCATGACTGGGCAGTGTTTCCTTCTCTTGTACAGAGGGTTGCTATGAGTCAGAATAGACTCAATGGCACCTAACAATAAGCCCAAAAGCCTTGCCCCTACAGGGCAAGAAGCCAAGAATAAGTAAAACAGTGTTGAAAGAGAAGAACAAAGTAGGAGGACTCACACTTCATGATTTTAAAACATATTATACAGCTACAGTAACCTGGCACTGGTCTAACAATAGACAAACAGACCAATGGAACAGACTTGAGAGTCCAGAAATAAATCCACACATCTGTGGCAAACTAGTTTCCAACAAGGGTGCTAATAAGTCCATTCAATGGAGAAAGAAGAGTTTCTTTGATAAATAGTGTTGAGAAAATTGGATTTCTACATGTAGAAATAGGAAAAAGGATATACGCCTCACACTGTACATAAAAACAAAGTCAAAATGGACTAACGATCTAAATGTGAAAAATAAAACCATAAAATTCTTATAAAGTATTTTTTATGATATGTTAACCTTAATCTAAACAAACTTTTAGATGTAATTTCCAGTTAACGAGATACAGAGGGAATAGAGGAACAAGTTAAATGATGCCAACAGGAATCATTCAGACAAAAAGAATGAAAGAAAAAGATTGGGAGAAATTCTCCTACATTGAAGAGTTTACAGAGGTATAAAAACCATTTAGAACAACTAAAGAAATATGAATACGAAAGACAGTAGTATGCTAATAGGGAATGCTTGCTCTTATACGTGGTAATATTGTAAGTTTATCCCTATTTTCAGGAAACATATGCTGAAGAATTTGAGAGTAGTGCCACAAAGTCAGCAACTTACTTTCAAATAGAACAGAAAAAATATTAGATGCAGATATAAAGCAAATTATTAAATCTAGGAAGCAGGTATAGAGGTGTTTATTTGAAGGCATTGATAAAACAAATTTTAAAAATGCAATCTCTTTAACGGGATTTATAGGAGAACCTGTTATTGAAGCAGTTGGTTTGGGAAGTCAGTACATTCTAGACCTTTTAAACACCATGTTTTAAAATTAAAACACAAACAAGCAAACAAAAAAACCAAACTCACTGCCTCAAGTCGGATCCGATTCATACCCCTCTTTGGGTTTCCGAGGCAGTATCACTACGGAAGTAGATTGCTCAACCTTCCTTCCGAGAAGTGGCTGGTGGGTTACAATTGCCAGCCATCTGGTTAGTAGTCAAATGCCTTACGCACTATGCTGCCAGAGCTCCCGTCCTTCCGAGAAGTGGCTGGTGGGTTACAATTGCCAGCCATCTGGTTAGTAGTCAAATGCCTTATACACTATGCTGCCAGAGCTCCCGTTTTTAAATATGTTACATTTAATTTTACCACTTTTTCCAATACTCTTAAACTTTGATCTCCCCAATGTTAGTTTTATTAACCACAGACACTTTTCTAAACATATCTTTAAATTAGTGGGAGAGTTACTCTATTTAACCAGATACTTAGCATAGTATTCATCAGCAGGTAAATTATATTTGACCAAACCTGTCCTTGGCTCTACTTTCTGTGGTTTGTTTACATAACAAACTGTTATCAGAACTCTTGCTACATTAGTCAAACTATAATCAAAAGTTAGAGAATAGGTTTTTCAATTGTTCTCCCAAGAACCAACCATCTAAAACAATTAACTGTGAAGTTTACCAAATACAAAGATTCAAAGAACACTGGCAACCTGGACTTTGAACTACCTTTCTGGTACTTAGAGTGATACCTTCTTCATCTCAGTGCCTGTTACCATGCCAAAATCCATGAAGAAAATTAGTATTATTACTCTCTCACCAGTCTCCAACATATTACTCTTTACACGTATATTTTTATTTAACTAAATCAAAAACCTTAAAAAAAAAAATCAGTAACACTAATATACCATCAAATTCATATCATGATGTCAAGGGGATCTTATTTTGCTTTAATTTACTCACAATTCATCAGTACCTTTTCATTATGCTGGTTGTGTTCACTCGTTGGTGATGTCAGTACATATAGATCAGTTTCATCATCTACTGCATAACGTCTGCCTGACAGAAAATCCCGTAGTTGAGTCTAGGAAATGCAGAGTATTATTCATAAATTACTATACCAACTGTGAAAAACAGTTCACACCTAGCTCCACTCAGTACCAACGATGTTCCAGTACACAGCACATTATCTGATATGTACTTGGCAGTCAGTAGGCACACGTGGAATTAAACTTCATAACAAAACATTTCAATCAGTTTCCAAAGGCCCCAGTACTCATAGAATTTTATAAGTTTTGAGTTAAAAGAAGACCTTGAAAGTTTAGTCTGAACCTTTTATTTTATATAAGAAAAAAATGGAAGATAAAGAAAAGTCTTACCTAAGGTCTCACAGTGAGTCAGGTAAAAATTTTATCATCTCTTATGTTAATGACTTAGATTTGACTAGATTAAGTGATTTTTAAGAAAACTAATTATAGTAGATACTTAGAAGAACTGATGGTAAAAACACTTTAAGACTTCAGATAATCCACAATAAATACTTCACTTTGAAAAGTTCATAAGTAAATTTGGTATTCTAAGCAACACAATTTGAAACAAAGTTTCCATGAAAAGACCATTTATAAAAATCTACCTACTTTCACTCTGGATTACTCCATTCTAAAATAAGATTATAACTAATATTACATAAACCCTCATTACATAAACACTTGCACGTGCACACACATGCTTCCTAATGAGTTAATGTGGAAGGAGAGGTACAAACTGAATTAAAGCCCAAAGACATTTCAAAAGAGCCCTGGGGATGCGACAGAGCAGCAGGCGGCTGCTAAGCCAGCAGCTCCCGGGAAAGACCTGAGGGTCCGCTCCTGAAAGACTACAGCCTGGAAAACACTGGGGGCAGTTCTCCTCTGTCCCAATGGGTCACTATGAGTCAGAATCAACTGGACGGCAACCAACAACAAAGAGACCTCCAAGCCACCTTTACTCTCAGCTATTACAAAGTTCTAACTAAAATATCTCACCAATAAATAGTACTTTAAAAGTAATAAGATTTGCCACAATTCTACTGATTGGATGAGCTGGTATTTAAGTTAACAACAAGAGAAAAATATAAAAAAATTAGAAAACCTAGAATTGTTGTTGTTCTTAATATATATAATTTTCCAATCTTAAAATCAGCTTTCACTGAAAAAATAATCTAGTATTTAAATTTTGAATAGAGGTAGTTCTCACACTTGAGGTTAATGTTTCAGCAGAGATGTTGAAAGCCAAAATGTACACTTCCATAAACACAATGTTATTTTTTAAAATGGAGAATATTATCTATGGTTTAAAAATGATTTTCAATCATTAAAGAGACAAAGCTAACTGGTCTGACAGAGAGTGGAAGAACTTCTGAGACCTGGCCCTTCATCAGCCTTCCAGCCAGGAACTAAACTCACCTCCATGGCTCAACTTTCAGCCAAACAGTAGACAGGCCTATACAGTGAATAACAACACCAGAGAGGCACACACCCCTTAAAACAACAGACCATCGGGTATTAAAAGAGCATCTTTTGCCCAGAGATAAAGCTCAAAAGGCAAGAAAGAATAGGAAACAGGGATGAACAGAGACAGGAAACACAGGAGGAAATGAGAAGGGTGCTGTTACATTGTGGGGATGGCCATGAATGTCACAAAGCAAAATGTGCATGACTGTTGAATAGAAAAGGAACTTGCTCTGTAGACATTCACTCAAATCACAATAAAAAGTTATTTTAAAACAACAACCAACTTTCATATTATTTGTAGAGTTGATTATTCTAGATGAGTGGTCCAAAAATATGGTCATAAAACTCCTGAGGTTCCCAAGAACATTTCAGGGGATCAGTAAGGTCCTCCCTCTTTCAACTACAGATCAATGTGAAGCCAAATTTACTTGATACACTTCAATCAAAGCAACATATCAAACAGAATATGAAAATCCAGCTATTTTCTATTCTACCAGGGATAGAAGATATATGTAAAACAATTCAAATCAAATTCTTCTCAAAATGTTTTCTTCACTTTTGGAAAATACAGTTATTTCCATAAAATAATACTTACATTAACATGCAATATGTTTATTATCAATTTTTAAAATAAATTTATACATCAATATTTAATAAATTATATAACCTATATAAATAAAATCTCTTTATGGCACTAAATCATTTTTAAGAGTAAAAAGGGGTCCCAAACCAAAATAAGGTGACAACGAGAACTCTAGAAAACATAGCATAAAGCTTTCTGGGTTAAGCATAGAAACTGTAATGTATTTGATGTGACACTCTATTAATTTTATTGATTTGTACCTTAAGGATTTGATAAATTACTCCTGATAAATTATTTCTGACACCAAATACCTGGAGTTAGGCCAAATTTCTCAGGTTAACGACACAGTCCTCACTTTAGACACGAGCTACAGGCTCATATTCAATAACGTCAGAATGACTCATAGGATGAAGGAACGTGTTATACTTCAATTCAGTTTTATCAAAGCAAAAAGATATATAGATCAGAACCAGCCAAAGGGAGATGCCCAAGGCAAGGTATGGGAGGGTGCCAAGCATGAAGCTGCCACTGTCCTGAGGGATGTGTTACACCCCACCCCCAGAACATCAATGTGGCAATACTCTGAATATTGTCAACAAGAGAAACACAACCAGCATCTTGGTGTCCAGAGTTTTCAATGAGGCTTCTTTATGTAAGCATGACTGATTGAATCACTGGCCACAAGACTGAATTCAATCTCGAGTTTCTCTCTCCTCCCCTCCCTGGAGGTCAGAATCAAATTGCCTGGCTCAAAGTTCCAACTCTCTAATCACATGCTTAGTCTTTCAAGGATGTCTAGTCCCCAACATGAGTTATCTCATTAGCATAAAATATCAAGGGGATCACCATGAGTCACCTGAAAGAATAAACTATTAGGTGTGGCCTAAGAAATTTGAATGGTTTGGAAGCTATCTCTGGGAACCAGAGACAAAGCCAGGCAAATTCTTTATTACATACTATTTATTCTATTTTTATCCTCTTACTTACTTGGAATAGGAGTTCTGGTGGCATAGTGCCTAAGGCATTTGACTGCTAACCAGAAGGCTGGCGGTTCAAACTCACCAGCCACCCCTCGGCAGGAAGGCTGTGCAATCCCATAGAGATACCGCCTTGGAAACCCAAGGAGGGGTCACTGTGAGTGGAATCAACTCAACAGCAGTGAGTTTGGTTTTAGTTTGGTTTATCTATTCTACTTTTCCATTCTAATAATGGTTACCTTGCCTTTTCCTTTACTCAAATTAAATTTACACTTCCCTATTATTATTTAACAGTGATATGGCTGCTACTTTCCCCAATATACTACAATGTTTAGCAGTTTTTATTATAATACCAGAATCTCCCTTAGTACAGCCTTGCACTTTAGCACATACATATCCTTAACATTTAACCACACACACACAAACACGTGTGCAAACACAAATGCCAAGTTTCATTGTTCACATCTTCCCTTATACAGATATCTATTCCAGTCCATCCATCATTTAATTATTAGAGGCCTTTGAAAAGTACTTTCTTTACATAGGTTATGGGAGGAGAGTTACTCTCAAATTTTGCATATCCTCACTTCTGCCTTTGACTTAACTGATGACAGTTCATTGGGGATGAGATTTTTAACTCACTGTCCTCTCTTCAGGATCTTGTACATGCTATTTAAAACCCAGTTCCTTATAAATAACTTGTTATTTTGATCAAGAAACTTACAATATTTGCCTTTATCCTTAAGAGTTCAGAAATTATTCTGGGATATACCTTGTTATCTCTTATCAATACAGAGCCCTGAACTTGGTAAATACTCTCAATCAGCAAACTCAGGCTTCTTTTCAGCTACAGGAAATATTATTTTATTACTTGTTTAACTATGGCCTCTTATCCATCTGTTCCTTTTTCTCCTTCTGAGACTAGTAATTGCATGTTAAGTCTTCTAGATTTAACTTCAAAGTTCCTTAATTTTTCCTCATGATTCCTTTACCTAATTTTTTTTCTGTGCTTTATATATTTATTGTTCTTGGCATGCAAGATAATTCAAAGAATGTTACAGGAGTATATTGACAGGGAACTTCCAGAAATGCAAGCTAGATTTAGAAGAAGATGTGGAACAAGGGGTATCACTGCTGATGTCAGATGGATCTTGGCTGAAAACAAAGAATACCATTAAGATGTCTAGTTGTGTTTTATTGACCATGCAAACGAATTCAATTGTGTGGATCACAGCAAATTATGAATAACATTGAGAAAAATGGAAATTCCAGAATGCTTGATTGCACTCATGAGGAACCTGTACATAGACCAGGAAGCTATAGTTTGAAGAGAACAAGGAGATACTGTATGGTTTAAATTCAGGAAAGGAGTACATCAGTGTTGTATCCTTTCACCAAACTTACTCAATCTGTATACTGAGCAACTAATCAGAGAAGCTGGACTATATGAAGAACATGGCACGAGGATTGGAGGAAGACTCATTAACAACCTGCAATAGCAGAGGACACAACTTTGCTTGCTGAAAGTGAGGACAACTTGAAGCACTTACTGATGAAGACTGAAGACGACAATCTGCAATATGGATTACATCTCAATATAAAGAAAACAAAAATCCTCTCAATGGGACCAATAAGCAGCATCACGATAAATGGAGAAAAGACTGAAGTTGTCAAAGACTTCATATTACTTGGTTCTATAATCAACACCAATGGAAGCAGCAGTCAAGACATCAGACAATGTACTGCACTGGGCAAATCCACTGCAAAAGACCTCTTTCAAGTGCTGAAGAGCAAAGATGTCTCTTTGAAGACTACGGTGTGCCTGACACAAGCCATGGTATTATCAATCACCTAATATGTGTGTGAGAGCTGGACAAGGGATACAGAAGACTGAAGAAGAGTTGGTGCTTTTGAGCTGTGCTGCTGGCAAAGAATGCTGAAAGTACCATGGACTGCTAAAATAACAAACAAATCTGTCCTGGAAGAAGTGCAGCCAGAATGCTCCTTGGAAATAAGAACGGCCAGACTTCAT